GGATTGCTATGAGGGTTAGCTGCTGGTGAAATTAATCTATGGTGCTGATTTGATTTCCTCAATTTACTTATGTCTCATGTTTTGGACTGTGTGAGGAAACTTTTGAGCCTGGGGAAAACCCACAAGAGCACGGGGAGAACATGAACTCCGCACAGAAATGCCAACTGGCCAGGTAGAGACCTGAACTGGAGACATTCTTGCTGTGAGGCAACAGTGTTAGCCACTGGGCCACCGTGCTGCCCTATAGATGAAAGAGGAGGAGAAGGGGTGAAAGGGGGGATTCTTCAAGACAAATATAGTAAGATGCTTTTAGTTATTTATACTAAGTTAGGAATAATGTAATTGATTGATCGTACATTAGCTTGACTCTGGGCCAGCGGTGTCAATCATAAGCATGTGATCTTCTTAAAATTAGTTTATAAATAATAATAGTTTATAATAATGTATTGGAAGTCAATGGGGCAAAAACAGCCACCAACATAATGAAAGGGTAGTCAATTTGCCCAGAGTGTATTGTTGAGTTTTAGAACATTTTCAAAGCATTTATCCAAAATATGTGTCAAAACAAGGTTTGGCACCAAATATTATTCCACTTGCTTTCACACAGTGAAAGATGTGGTCAAATTAAGACTCAAAATCACCTCAGATTGGATGAAAACATTCCCAACACACACAAGGGTTAAAAAAACACAATTTTTACACAATGTTTCCTCACCTTTCCTTCGCTTACTCCTGCAGAATTACCAATTGACAAGGATTTGCTTTCGATTAAAGGTAATTATCCCCAGTGCAAGCTGTCATTCTCTCTCACGCACATCCTGACGGTTCTACCTGAGGGTTTTGGAGCGTCTCTGGACACTCTCCAGGCGCTGAATCCTGGCACTGAGTCTGCGGATCTCCGTTTCAAGCTCCATCTCGCTCTTGTCGACCTGTTGGCACATGCGGGCAAAGACGGCCACCATCTCCCTGCAGACAGAGAGGCACATCCATCACCCTCACACCCTCATTCTGCAGATCAAACCAATGCTTTAGACGTCAAAAAAGTGTGTTTGCATTCAGGTCAGTAGACTAAGGTGTTGTTTTTATTGTGCTGTCATCGCCTTAGCTGAAATATTCAATGATTAAGTGCTCATAAATGCAGGTAAAGTATTATTTACCTTTAACTAAGTCCACGTCCTTCAGTGTGTAAAGCTGGTGTGGACAGATTTGATTTTAAATACCTGGACAAATGAGTCACTGGGCTCTTTTTGAACGATCTAGGCGTAAAGTCTGAAGCGCCAAACATGCAAGCGAAGTCTAAATACGGTCTGCGCCTTGGCGCATGGTCTTACATGGTTGTGCTTATTCTCTTACTGAGTTGTGGGTGTGTTTTGAGCATAATGTGCATTAAACCAATCAGAGTCTCATCTCACATTCCCTTTAAGAAGCAGTTGCGTCACGCCATGGCGCATTTGCTATTTACATGGCTGACTTGTAAGTGGAAAAACTGAACACTTCAGTAGCGAGAAAACAGTTAAACAGATCATCTGCAGCACCAGGATAAAGAAGGAGCCTCCTCCATTCGGTCTCTTTACTTTCTCTTTACTTTTACTCCTTTACTTTCGTGGATGAGGAAACGGTGTTGTACGCACTCCACTGAAGACATCCATTAGCCTACATAATTCATTTTGTTTGTTAAGCGCAAAGATTTGTTTCAAAACTATTTCTAAATTCAGTTCTAATTTCCAGCAAATGAATAAGTGAACAATAATAACGAAGTGTAGAGAAAAAACCAAACACGCGTCCTATTCTTATGCCCCATATGGTGATGTAGACGTCTTCAAAACCCGACAGGTGGACAAATCTTAACTTTTTTTTTTATTAAAATAAATATAAATATGCGTATAATAAATAATATAATAATAATAAAAAATTGTCATGAATATAACCATACCCCCTACCAACCCCACTCCCACATATGTGAAGATATTTGTGTACTGCTGTACATTCTGCATGCATTATGCAATGTGTAAGTGTTTGGACCTTCATAGGCGCATTACTGTGCATTCACACCGAAAGCAGCGAGAGTATTAAAGTAGCCGGAAGCCGCTCATTTTCATTGCAAGCCGGCGGCGAGGAGTAGCGCGGTGTTTCTTCCCTAGATTGGGCGTCGAGGAGAGTTGAAATCAAGGCTGTTTTTACAATTCCATGATCGCAGAGAACGAACTTGCATTTTCGTGAAGACCGGTCTTGCCAAGTTACTACAGAAGAAGATAGAACATTTTGGCCTTAAGCCTGGTTTATACTTCTGCGTCAAGTGATCAGCGTGACCCACGGCGCATGCAACGCGCATAGCTGTGCATTCATTCTTCTGCATGCTGTTTCTGTTGCTTTGCAATAACACTTTCGAGACGCTAGCTGGCAGTAGATGTTTATGTTCCTCTGTGTCGAGTTTCTTCGCTGATGTTTTGTTTTTTTCTGAACGCTACCGTAATGTACAAGTGGTTCAAACTCGCTGATTTTGAGGCAGGAACCGGCGGACATGCAACAACTTTAACCATAAGGTAAACACAAAGCAACCATCCGGAGCTCCTTGTAAACAGTCGACACTTGTAAACAGTCGCTCGGCTCTCAGCCCTGCCCACACTTGGCAGTGCTTCCAAGCCGATCAATCACAGAGCTTGCTCGGCTCTTGGCCCCGCCCACACTTGGCAGCGCTTCCAAGCCGACCAATCACAGAGCTTACGCTATGCATCATTGCGAAGCGTAGTTACATTTTTTGAGAGGTGCACGTCAGCGACGTGGCATGTGTGGAGAAACTGCACTGCTGATCACCTGTCCATTACAGTGTCAGGGAAGCATGGTGGTGGCAGCATCATGCTGTGAGGGTGTTTTTCAGCTGCAGGGACAGGATGACTGGTTGCAATTGAGGGAAAGATGAATGCGGCCAAGAATAGGGATATCCTGGACGAAAACCTTCTCCAGAGTGCTCAGGATGTCAGACTGAGCCAAAGGTTTACCTTCCAACAAGACAATGACCCTAAGCACACAGCTAAAACAACGGAGTGGCTTCACAACAACTCTGCGCATGTTCTAGAATGGCCCAGCCACAGCTCTGACTTAAACACAATTGAGCATCTCTGGAAGGACCTAAAATGGCTGTCCACCAACATTTACCATCCAACCTGACAGCATGGTGGTGGCAGCATCATGCTGTAAGGGGGTTTTTCAGCTGCAGGGACAGGACGACTGGTTGTAATTGAGGGAAAGATGAATGCGGCCAAGTACAGGGATATCCTGCATAAAACCTTTTCAAGAGTGCTCAGGATGTCAGACTGGACCAAAGGTTTACCTTCCAACAAGACAATGACCCTAAGCACACAGCCAAAACAAAAGAGTGGCTTCACTCTGCGCATGTTCTTGAATGGCCCGGCCACAGCCCTGATTTAAACCCAATTGAGCATCTCTGGAAGGACCTAAAATGGCTGTCCGCCAACATTTACCATCCAACCTGGCAGAACTGGAGAGGATCTGCAAGCAGGAATGGCAGAGGATCTCCAAATCCAGGTGTGAAAAATGTTGTTGTTGTTGCATCTTTCCCAAAAAGACTCATGGCTGTATTAGATCAAAGGGGCCCTAGTAGCAAAGAATTCTGGCCTAGATTTGGCAAAATGCTGGCACAGCAGGCATTCATCCGGCACTGGCATACAGCATGTGGGCCAAACATGGCCTGGGTTTGGCAGAGGTGGCATCGTTTTTAAGGCGGCAGACAAGATTTGGGCCAGATGAAAAACGTGGTATTTGGCCCAGATTTAAAAATTTGATAAGTGGGCCATGTGAGTTTGGCCAGTCTTGACCCACATTTAAAATACACTAAAATCATTTTTGAGTAAAGAAAAAAAAATTCTACCAATCAGGTCACTTTGAGAAAAAGCATGCCCATAGTGTGCCTAAAGCGCATCACTCCATGGGTTTATCAATTTCATTGCAATCATGACACACCAACCTATCTGGCCCAGTTCAGGCCCAGTTATGAGTTATTAACTTGGCTGAGACTTGGCCCAGATATGGTCTGTGTTTGGCCCTTGTCTGGAAGCCAGATTTGGTCCAGTCATGTACCGTAATTCACTGTGGCATGTGGGCCAAGCAAAACCTGATTGTGTGGGCCAGAGCTGGGCCAGAGAAATTTTGCTATGTGGGGGGGCTTCTACTAAACACTGAGCAAAGGGCCTGTATACCTGGAGCCATGTGATAGTTCAATTTTTCTTTTTTAAATAATCTTCAAAAAATATCTGTGTTTGTTTTTTTTGTTGTTGTTGTTAATATGGGCTGCTGTGTGTAAATTAATGAGGAAACAAATGAACGTAGTTGATTTTTGCAAATTGCTGCAATATAACAGAGTAAAAAATCAGAATACTTTCAGTACCCTTTGTAAAAGATGACTATTAAGTAAATTATCTTAAATATCATCTTTTGTATTTAATGCAGACCAAAGTACAGTTGAATAGTGTAGAATAGGAAATAAAGTGTGACAAAATTTGAACTATTTTCAAATTAATTTATTTTAGCTTTGAATATTTGATGGCGACGCAGTGGCGCAGTAAGTAGTGCTGTCACCTCAGAGCAAGAAGGTCGCTGGTTCGATCCTCGGCTCAGTTGGCGTTTCTGTGTGGAGTTTGCACGTTCTCCCTGCATTCGCGTGCTCCGGTTTCCCCCACAGTCCAAAGACATGCGGTACAGGTGAATTGGGTAGGCTAAATTGTCCGTAGTGTATGAGTGTTTGTGTGTGAATGTGTGTGTGGATGTTTCCCAGAGATGGGTTGCGGCTGGAAAGGCATCCGCTGCGTAAAAATGTGCTGGATAAGTTGGCGGTTCATTCCGCTGTGGGGACTCCGGATTAATAAAGGGACTAAGCCGACAAGAAAATGAATGAATATTTGATTATTATTGGCACTTACTGTTGCACCTGCTGACCAGAGTCTCCACTGATGATGTGTGCGACGGCCTGCAGTCTTTGAGTGGTGTGGTCCACATACTGCTGCTTCAGAGCCCTCTCTTTAGAGCTGTTGGTCCACGTCAGTCTTTCATACAAGTAGAGGAAACTGTAGAGACTCACAGATAGTACAATAACCCTCCATCCCACAGCACGCCACACCTAGACAAACAGCACCACACAAGCATCTTTTACACCATTGTGCTTATACTTCAAGTATTAAAGGGATAGTTCACCCCAAAATGAAAATGTACTCACTTTTTACTCATCAATTTACACACAAAGCTACATGTAAAGGGATAGTTTACCCAAAAATGATAAATGACTCACTTTTTACTCAGCAATTACCAGACCAAGCTACATTTAAAGGGATAGTTCACCCAAATAAAAAATGTACTCACTTTTTACTCAGCAATTACCAGACCAAGCTACATTTAAAGGGATCGTTAACGCGAAAATTGAAAGTTAAGTCTCGTTCAAGTCGTTCCATACCTTTGAGTTCCTTCTGTTGAACCATTGACATCCATAGTAGTAAAAAAATAGTAAATACAAATACTAAAAACATGTTCATTTTTGGGTGAACTATCCATTTAAAGCTGTCTAAATGGAGTGCTTACTAAGCAATGAGTAATATTAATTAAAAAATAGGTTTTAATATATTTAAATAAAGATGAAATATTGAGAAAAATGTAAGTTACAGGAATGCTTAAAGGGATAGTTCGTCCAAAAATGAAACTTCTGTCATTATTTACTCACCCAGTACTTGTATGCCTTTCTTTAGTCTGTTAAACTCAAAGTAAGATATTTTGAAAAATGTTAAAATCCTGTAACCATTGACTTCTATAGTGTTTGTTTTTCCTTCTATGGACTTCAATGGTTACAGGTTTTCAGTTTTCTTTAAAAAAATCTTCTGTTGTGTTTAACAGAACAAAGAAGAACATAAAGGTTTGGAATAAGTTAAGATAGAGTAAATAGTGAGTAAATGTTCATGTTTGGGTAAACTATCCCTTTAAGCTGTCTAAATTAAGTGCTTAGTAATGCAATGAGTATTAATAATCAAAACATGTGTTTTGATATATTTAAATTAAAATATAATATTGAAATATATTTAAATTGTCAATATAAATAAATTTAAAAAATCTTCATGGAACTTATATTTACGTAATATTCTAATGGTGTAAAAGTAAGATCAATTTTATTGTCCCATTCAACGTATTTTTGGCCTTTGCCATGCAACATAAGACTGGTTTGTGGTCACATATTTGATTGAAATTGCCAAAATTATCCTCTTTTCTTTGTTCTTTTTTCCACAGGAGCATAACTCCGCATCAATGAGACCTACTATGAAAATGAAATACAAAAGAGAAGATTAAACCCAATATTTTTTTGTGATAATGTCATATAAAACAAAGCTATTTACCAGCAGTTTGTACAAGGCCAGTCGTTTTTGACCCACAGGTGCTATTGGGTTTTGAACAGAACACAAGTGCTTTAAATAATTAGTGGCTGAAAAAAACAAAACACTAAATTATTTTAAATGTTGCTTACCACTCCAGCAATAACTACCATACCCAGTGAAGCTCTGGAAGTGAGAGACAGCAGTCCTGATGCCATGGAGAGAGCCAGATCCTCATGGCCCCGGGAGCCCGTGTGAGCAGAGGAAGAGGTGAGCTGTGAACAGACAAATCCAATTGCATCACTTTAAGCCTATATTTGATATGCTTTCAAGATGAGACGCTGCAGACAAACTAGCTGAAAGAAAATGAATAAATGAAAAAAAATTAGTCCCTTTGTCTATCAGGGGTCAACACAGCGGAATGAACCACCAACTATTCCAGCATATGTTTTACACAGCGGATGCTCTTTCAGCCGCAACCCAATATTGGGAAACACCCATACACATTTATTCACACTACACTATACACGCTTCGACCAACTTAGTTCATCCAATTTACCTATACCATGTCTTTGGATTGTGGGGGAAACCGGAGCACGCCAACATGGGGAGAACATGCAAACTCCACACAGATATGCCAACTGATCCAGCCAGGGCTCAAGACAGCAATCTTCTCATGCCAGCCACCATGACACCCCTAGTTTCTTCATATACCTCAAGATTTTGTAGAGTCTAATTTAAAGAAAACATACTAAATACACTTTTAAATGATCATTTCTATGGAGCTAATAATATGCCAAAACAATCTAAATTTGAACTGTGTTCATTTGAATTCTTGACGATTGTAATTTTACAAATCCGAATATTTATATGCCTTTAAAAATGTTTTTTTTAAATTTGTTGAAATTCAATCAATTAATTTAATCAAATAAAGAAATTCAAATTCAAAACAATTTTTAAAGGCATATAAAAATTTGGATTTATTATATTACAATCGTAAATAATTCAAATGAACACAATTCAAATTCAGATTGTTTTGGCATATTATTAGCTCCATAATTTTCTCCTCTGGTTTGTCATTAATCTAATTAATTCACCTCAGCAGCATTTAGCCAAACTTCAGTTTTATTCATATGCATATTCTGAAGGTTTTTACTTCAGGGTAATGTGACTGATTAAATACTTTATATTTTCAAAAACATAAACAAACCAACAAATCTAAAAATGGGGCCATTCATGGTATTTCATAAATTACAGAATGATAGAAATGAATACCCAAAATTTTCACCCAGTTTTTACTCTATTTTACTCAAATTTTTTATGAAAAAGAGTAAAACAAGAATTTGGAAGTTTTTCCAAATTATGTTTAAATTTTGTGCTAGAAGAATATTAGAGAATATTTAATTAATGCCTTAAGGCTGATTTAGAAACAATAATAGTCCAACATTCCTGACCATTATCAAAAGCAAAGCCTAGAAAAACACCATCAGTATTCTGTAAACTGATGGGTTCAAATATTTTTTACCTGTCATTAAAGAAATAATTTGCTTCTTCGTTTCACTTTTGTAGCAATTAAATTGTTTTAAGTTCAAAATTCATAATAAGTTCATAATATATACATCAGTGTAAAACCTATGAATGGTAGAAAAACATATTCTGTAATTGTGTTTTAAAACCACCTGGGGCTCCACTTTTGCCATGGCCTCTCTTTGGCTTTAACAAACTTGTCCCTCAAGTTTTTGCAAACTTGTGTGCAGGGGATTGCGCAATCTGACGTGAGGCACAGCTCGAGCTGCCTCCGCTTGCTTCTTACGCTGTAATTGAACAGGAAATAAGCAAAATACAGCGATTTTAATCATAAAATAATAGAAATCATTTGAATCAGAAATTGTATTTGTAGCATAGATCAGAGAACAAATATTTATTTTATTATTAGTATACTTCTCATAATGACAGATGAGGATGATGACAGGTGTGGCACTGCCTCCCCTGACCGCACGTCCCTGCTGTACCGGTCTACCCGTTTCAGACAAAATCTCTTCATTAGCCCCTTTCACACAGTGATACCGGTAAATATCTGGAAAATTTCCGGAACGACTTTACCGGTATATTGAAAAAAGCGCTGTTCACACAGGCGAGGACGTTACGGAAATTTTCCGGAAAAGAGCATTCACACATCCATTCCAAAATACCGGTAAATTCTGACATCATTCACCACAAATGAGCTTTAAACGGCTGCGCTTGTATTTGTAAACATTTGACTAAATTACAAACTCTGTGGATGATCAATATTGTGAACAACTTTTGCAGGATCACTTTCGCATGTCGAGATGTTCATAATATGTGCGTGTGCAGGTTTCACAGGCACACGCAAAGCTTGAAGGTAAACAAACAACGGCTTATCATAAGCATCTCATCGATGATTATTTACACAGTTGGCATTAAGAAGAACATATAAACGTGATCTGACTAACTTCTAGCAGCTAAATGTGTCTGGAAAAATATTCAAAGGCTTTTATTCTCACAAACCGCGCGGACGTAAATGCGCCTGACTGTTGTGATTGGCTAAAGCAGACGTTTCACGTCAGCACGTTCTAGAGGTGCACGCGCTTATTACGGCAATCTTCCTTCTGCATTCACACAGCGCAGCATTCCGGCAAATTGCCGTAATGTTACAACTTCTCTTTCCGGAAAATAGCCAGAACGAATTTACCGGTATTTTCAAAAAGGGCCTGTTCACACATACAACCTTTCCGGAAAATTGCCGGCAATTTTCCGGAAAGGTCTGTATGTGTGAAAGGGGCTAATGTAATTCATATTCAACTCCAATGAATCGTGGCGCCATGCGAACTGTTCGCTCGAGTCTCAAAAAATGTTGTGCACTCCCCCAGCCGAAAGCATGTCATGTGCACCCAAAGCAAACCTCCGCAAACACCGCAACGATGTCACAGTCATCGCATGCACTCAATCAAACTAGCGAACGCATCAAGAATGAAACAGCCTTTACACAAATACAAAAAAGATTCTTAAAGGCGCAGTATATAATTTCACCACTAGAGGGTGCGTATTCACAACACACAAAGGCATATTTTGATGATGTCATGACTGAGTGTGGAATCATTGGATTTGTAGTCTTCATTACACTTTACGGGACTACAGAAATCATGTTGATGTTAATGAGCACTTATAACCATGGTAGAAGCAGAGTAAGGTGAAAGTAGCTTCAAGTAGTCAAGTAAGCAACATATATAACATTGCTTGTGGTTTTTGGATATTTTAATGAAAAATAAATCATAGATATTGTGCCTTTAATGTAATCAGTTACATGGGAAATAATAATGATTGCTATTCGGTTGTTTTTCTTATGCACCAGCAGTGTTTCACCCATAACATCAATAAAATTGGCAAAGCCTAAAAGAGAAAACACTGCTACATTTACTTTTAATTTCTGCTCCAATAGGCTCAACGCTTGTTTTGCATTCGCAGGCCCCAGGAAGCGGTTCACCAGGGATGTAAGACCCAGCGAGAAGTGAAAGTCAATGTCCTCGGTGAAATCGGCACCGAGGCTGGTGAGGTTGAGGTCGTAGGTCATGGTGAACCTCCGGCTGGGCAGGTGGAGTTGAGCGCGGGCAGCAGGGGGCAGCAAAGGACGCAGAGTGTCTGGGCAGGAGAGCGACAGACAGCAGTTTAGTCTGAAGAACGCTCTGCCAAGGAAAGCTTCTTTACTGGAGCCTTTATGTCTGAAGCAAAATCTGTGTGTGTGTGTACTGGTTTTGGTGGTTTACGAGGACACAAATATGTATAATGACATGGGTATGACCTGTGGAGGTGGTTCATGATGACATGCCCTTTGTCCTCACAATTCTGAAAGCTTAGAAAAAAAATCTTAAAAATCTTATTGTATATAATTATTTTAGATATAATAAGCGTTTTGTAGTATATTATGTGTTACACTTATGGAGAGGACTCATAAACCACCAAAAACAACATGTAGGCATGTGTGAGTGTGTATGAGAGAGAGAGAGAGAGAGAGAGAAGTGTGTGCACATATATGTCTGTATCTGAGTGTGATAGAGATTGTTTGTGTGTGCGTTCATTTATATATAAGTGTGTGTGTGCGCAAAAGGAGAGAGAGAGCGTGTGTGTGTGTCCATGCTTATGAGAGAATGTCTGTGTATCTGTATCACTATGTATGTGTGTGCGCGTGACAGCGTGAAAGTGTTTGCTTGTGCCTGTTTGTGAGTGTGTGTGTGTGTGTGTGTGTGTGTGTGTGTGAGAGAGAGAGAGTGTTGTTTGTATATCTGTATTTGTGAATTTATTTATGTATTTGTGTGTGTGTGTTTCTGTGTGTGAGAGAGAGAGAGAGAGCTTGTATTTGTGTGTGTTTATGTCTGTATGTGTAAATGTGTGTCTTCATCTTTGAGAGAGAGAGAGAGAGAGAGAGTGTGTGCGCGCGCGTGCGTGCGTGCGTGCATACCCATGATGTCTCTCTGAGAGGACAGGACACAGCCGTTTATACTGCTGGAACAGCGCAGCTCCAGATTCTTCACCATTCTCTCCTCCACATACGACACAAGCTTCTGCAAAACAAACACGGTTACAAAATGTTAGCCTGTTACACACTGGAAAAGACTACTCTAATTCCCCAAAATCCTGAAAGCAAGATAAATCCAGCTCATAAGCAAAACTGCACCTCAATTGAATGAATTGGAGCGAACAACCATTAAACTGACAATCAATAATCAGTTTAGATTAACTTGATCTATTCACGTGGAAATTGTGCTAAATTCAATTCAATTCAATTCAGCTTTATTTGTATAGCGCTTTTACATGTAGATTGTGTCAAAGCAGCTTCACATAAATGGTCATAGTAACTGGATCAGGGTGGTTCAGTTTTTAGTGTTTAAGTTCAGTTCAGTTTAGCTCAGTTCAGTGTGGTTTGAAGTCTTTATTGAGAGTCCAAACACTGAAGAACAAATCCATCGATGAGTAGCTTTTCAGATTCTGAACCAATCAAGCCAGTGGCGACAGCGGAGAGGGAAAAAAAACACCAATAGGAGAGTGAAGAAAAAAAACCTTGAGAGAACCAGACTAAGTTCGGCACGACCATTTTAATTTCTCCGCTGGCCAAAAGTCTTGTGCAGAGCTGCAGTCTCAGCAGTGGAGGCTGGAAGCTGGCCTCAGCGAAGACTCATCTGTCCCTGGATCTGTAAATGTCGGCTACCTGTACTTAATCATTTGCAAAGATGTACTTAGACATTTGCAATTTGATGAAATGAATGGGAAAATCAAGTCTGTTGTAAACAAGTGATTTGGAGGTTTGTACATGTTGTTTTGAGAATGTAATTCCTGTTTCAAGAAATGAGCCAAACCGATAGAGAAAAACTGTAAATAACATTTTTAGACCATTCATTCATTCATTCATTCAATCATTCATTCATTCATTTTCTTATCGGCTTAGTCGATTATTAATCCGGGATCGCTACAGCGGAATGAACCGCCAACTTATCCAGCACATTTTTACGCAGCGGATGCCCTTCCAGCCACAACCCATCTCTGGGAAACATCCACACACTCATTCACACACTCATTCACACACGCACTCATACACTACGGACAATTTAGCCTACCCAGCGGACGTTTCTGGAGGCCACGAAATACTTCCCGGGAGGTTCATATTTGTGCACTTTTTGTTTCGTCTCGAACGCCTCTCACAAGCACTGGCCCATGCTGTTCTCGTGTAAAAAGCCGCCGGAGACCGCTGTTGAGCGACCGTCTGTCTGACTGACTGAACGATTGACTGGGCGGCTGACCAATCGGCAGACCTAGCTACCTTCCTCCTCCTCCTTCTTCCATAAACCCAAGCGACGATTTACAAAAGCCGTCCAGAAAAAGAAAAGCCCTCGTCTGATTTTGACCACGTTTTCGTATTTCACTGCATTCTCGGCCCGTTATGAACTCGTTTGCTTTATTTTTTGGATTCTGTTTCATGTTTTACCTGATTTCTGGAACCGTTCTTCCCCAGACTCGAACCCGGTCGTCGCCGCAGCAGCTCCTCCTCCTCATGGCCTCTGCTCCTAACGTAACACGACGACCTAACTGGACAAACTGGTTGCGGCGGGAAAGCCCTCCACATGGAGTTGAGCTGTCAGCCGGCGAGCGCGTAGAGAAGCGGCAACACACCACCCCGTAGAGTTCGCTTGAAAAATTGAAATGCAGCCATACGTAGCTCCTGCCACGTAATCGCGGTCTCCAGAAACGTCCGCAGGGCTATGTTTTCAGAATGAGCTTGGGTTGTAACTTTTAATTCATCTCAATTCATCATTATTTCTATAGCGCTTTTACAATGTAGATTGTGTCAAAGCAGCTTAACATAAAATATTATAGTGGATTAAAACTGCGCCAGTCCAGATTTCAGAGTTGTAGTTCAGTTTAGTTCAGTTCAGTGTGGTCTAATTATCACCGCTGAAAGTCCAAACACTGAAGAGCAAATCCATCAATGCGCAGCTCCACAAGTCTCAAACCAGGCAAACCAGTGGCGAGGAACAAACTTTACCAATTGACAAAAGTGAAGGAAAAAACCTTGAGAGAAACCAGGCTCAGCTGAGCACGTCCATTTCTCCACTGGCCAAGCTTCTTGTGCAGAGCTGCAGTCTATTCTTATTCATATTTACTCGCAAAATGATTAGTAACTGTTAGACTGAGCTTGGAAAACAAAAATCTGAATGTTAGACTGAATAATAATTATAACTGCAAACTATTCAAAATAACGTAAAACTCACCGTTTTGTATAGCGCTAAAGCATTTGGGGCAGGAATAAATTCAGAGCAGAATTCATCCACAAGAACAGACAGGCATCGCATTTCCTCTTCCAGAGCACTGGACACCTAGAAGGACATTACTGAGAGTTACACACTAAAGAAAACAATCGAATAGTTTCATATAAAATTAAAGAATTACAGGGACGATTATCCAAAAATGAAAACTCTGTCTTGATTTACTCAGTTGCATATTGCTGAATTTCCCATTTAAAAATAATATTTGGAAGAATGTTGCTGCAATAAATAAATAAATGGTCTGTGAATACAAGTTTAGATACAAGCTTCTTTCTTTCTAAAGAGCAGTGGTCACCAAACTTGTTCCTGGAGGGCCGGTGTCCTGCAGATTTTAACTCCAACCCTAATCAGACACACCTGAACAAGCTAATCAAGGTTTTACAATGTATACTTGATACATCCAGGCAAGTGTGTTGAGGCAAGTTGGAGCTAAACCCTGCAGGACAGAGAGATTGGTGACCCTTGCTAAAGAGACTTTTTGTAATGCCTGTGTTTTCACATTAACAACATGATGACTTTTTATGATGATATTTCTTTTGACTGCAATTTCTTAACCATATTTAATGTGAATGAATATTTAATAATTTGTGTAATTGGTCAGACTTTAGTTAGGTTTCATTAGCTACTGTATGCACTAACATGATTAATTATAAACAATACACTACCTGGCAAAAGTCGTCGCCTATCCAAGTTTTAGGAACATCAAATGATATCTTGACTTCTAGTTGATCGTTTGATATCAGAAGTGGCTTTTATGAAAGGCTTAGGCCTTGTGTATGACTCCCATGAGCTTGGAGGACTGCATCCATACATCTCTGCAATGACTCAAATCACTTATTAAAGTCATCTGGAATGGCAAAGAAAGCGTTCTTGCAGGACTCCCAGAGTTCATCAAGATTCTTTGGATTCATCTTCAATGCCTCCTCCTCCATCTTACCCCAGACATGCTCAATAATGTTCATATCTGGTGACTGGGCTGGCCAATCCTGGAGTACCTTGCCCTTCTTTGCTTTCAGAAACTTTGATGTGGAAGCTGAAGTATGAGAAGGAGAGCTATCCTGCTGAAGAATTTGCCCTCTCCTGTGGTTTATAATGTAATGGGCAGCACAAATGTCTTGATACCTCAGGCTGTTGATGTTGCCATCCACTCTGCAGATCTCTCGCATGTCCCCATACTGAATGCAACCCTAAACCATGATTTTTTCCTTCCCAAAGCTTGACTGAATTCTGAGAGAATCTTGGGTCCATGTGGATTCCAGCAGGTCTTCTGCAGTGTTTGTGATGATTGGGATGCAGCTCAACAGATGCTTCATCTGAAAAATCGACCTTCTGCCACTTTTGTAAATGATCAACTAGAAGTCAAGTTATTATTTGCTGCTCTTACAACTGGGAGCGATGGCAAAACTTTTTCCAGGTAGTGTGCTTGTACAGATTTAGTAATCATAGTTACTAATGCATTATTAACGTCTACATTAAGGCTTGTTAACATTAGTAAATAATGAACTAACAACGATCAACTGTATTTTCATAGTATGAATAAATACTAAAAAAAATTGATTGTTTATGTTAGAAATTGCATTAAATAATACAAACCTTATTATAAAGTGTTACCATGTAACTAAATATATAAGCATTTTAACTGATTGGCAGCCCTAATAATTATATGTGATCTCTCTCCCCCTCTCTAACACACACACTTATTTTAAATATGCATTATACTTCTAATGTAGCATCAAAATAACTCCATATTCTGTATTTGTGTACACTAGGGTTGGCCTTTTGTGAGGGGTGATGATGATGATGCTGGTCACCTTGGCAGCCACTTCATCACTGACGACCTTTATCTTGTCCTTGATGTCCTCGGTTATGAAGTTCAGCTGATTACGTACAAACTCCAGCCGGTCCATAAGAGCCTCGCGATCTTCCAGCGAGAAAACTCTACAGATTCACAGAGGTAAATTACTTACTTTTTAAAGGTGATACGTGATGCGTTAATACCTGATTTTTACCACTAGAGGGTGTGTATTAAAACAACAAACAAAGTTGTATTTTGATTTTAGAAAGTGGAATCATGGGAGTTGTGGTCTTTATTACATCCTACAGGACTCCTGCAGGAGTCATGTTCATTCATTTATTTATTTTCTTCAGCTTAGTCCTGCTATTCGTCAGGGGTCACCACAGCGGAATGAACCGCCAACATGTCCAGCATATGTTTTACACAGCGAATGCTCTTTCAGCTGCAACCCAGTACTGGGAAGCATCCATATACACTCATACACTATGGCCAATTTAGTTTAATTCACCTACAGCGCATGTCTTTTTACTTTTGGGGGGAAACCAGAGCATCTGGAGGAAACCCACACCAACATGGGGAGAACATGCAAACTCCACACAAAATTGGCAACTGACCCAGCCGAGGCTCGGACCAGCGACTTTCTTGCTGTGAAGAGACAGTGCTAACCACTGAGCCACTGTGTTGCCCTGTAATTTATTTTAACATGTTAAAATATATATATATATATATATATATATATATATATATATATATATATATATATATATATATATATATATATATATATATATATATATATATATATATATATATATATATATATATATATATATATATATATATATATATATATATATATATATATATATCTCTATATATATATATATATATATATATATATATATATATATATATATATATATATATATATATATATATATATATATATATATATATATATATATATATATATATATATATATATATATATATATATATATATATATATATATATATATATATATATATATATATATATATATATATATATATATATATATATATATATATATATATATATATATATATATATATATATATATATATATATATATATATATATATATATATATATATATATATATATATATATATATATATATATATATATATATATATAGTTAATATATTTCATCAGTTTTTGAGGTAAAGTTTTCTGAAGCATCAAGACATATAACCTGAAAATGAATGGGTGCCTATGGATGGACCCCTATTTTTATTAGGAAGCTTTACAATATTATATTTGTGTATTCACATTAGATTAGTCAGTATTGAAGCCAAATCTGGAGCCAGGGCCGGAGCAAGCTGAACTGCCGCTCTAGGCAAAGGACGGTCACACCCCCCTCAACCCTAAAGTGAAAGCAGGTGGGGGTTGTGTCACGGACGCCGCCCTCTTTTTTTCTGCCGCCCTAGATGCAGATATCGAGAGAAATCAGCTGAGGGATTCTTTAAAACGAAGATGGCTGTCATATGGAGCTTAGGGTATTTATAGTGGCTTAGGAATCGTCTGATTGGTGAATCATAAACTGAATAATGTCTGGCCCTTGGTTCAGTAAGAGGACCGATCAAAATATGTCACATGTCCTTTTTGAGCACTTAAACAGAGACCCTTGATTATAAAGATCCTGCAACTTACTTCTTTTCTGCCGAAGAAATATTGATGGCATCCATGATAGCCTTGACCGACTCAATGATCTGCCAGGCTCGGATTGTGTGCTGCTCAAACTTGGTCTTGACGGCAGACTGCGATATAAATTCCTGCGGAGCCAATGAAATTACGCCACAATTATTAGGGATCACGTCTGCAAGATGTTATCTACACCCATCAGCCAGACTGACATGTTTTGCTACTCTGGCCTCTGCAGAATCCCAACAGAGCCATCCATTAATGCCATCGTAGATTACTGTGAATTTTCATCCCTGGGTCCTAAGAATGCGCGGTACGCTCACCTACGCGTATCCGCTAGACTTGGCTCGGGGATTTGCCATTATGAAAATGCCTGCCTGGAATCTATGAGGAGCAGCAAGTATCTCACACATCTGGGAGCCAGCAGCGAGCAGATGGCCCAGACTGATGCAAAACAGCTTGCCTAAAGTACACATGAAATAAAAACTAACCATATTGAATTTGTTAGCATTGCTAGTTTTGCTAATAGTTTTGCTAGTTTTGTGGTGAACAATTAATCTGTGCATGTCATTACGAAAAAACAACAATAGTTTGCTCTTCTAACTATTTCAATCTAAAACTGAAATCTGAAAATGCACTTCCTGTTTTTTTTCAGTTCAATTCTAACATTATGTCTGTCTGAGGTCTTGGGCGGGGCTAACATACTTTACCACGCCCCTGTAGGTGTGGTAGCTTATATATGCACAACATTTCTCCCATTGACATGCGCAAGAAGAACACTGAGATTGGCTGAAATGTACACAGCAGCCTGAGGTGGATTATGAGATATGGCAGATATGAGAAAACGTGCCCCACTAACGTAATTGAGTTTGTCAAAAATGTACACAGCGCCCTCTAGTGGATTTGTGAAAACACCATCTACAAGTACACATAGCCCAGGGAACATATTTCAACATTCTCGAATATGTAGCCCTGGGAACGTGTCTCCAAAAAAAGTGTTCCTTTAAGAAGATCGTCACCACATCACATAATTTCTGGCTAAAGCTGCCATAAATTCTCATCTAGTCTAAACAATACAAAGACATGACTAAGACTTTTTTCCACAAGAGCTCTTGCTAATCCTTTTTTTGTTTTCAGGCTCATTGTCAGACGACGATTATCCTGGAACGGAGACCACAGTTTGAGGATTTTTTTTACCTCAAATGTTCTTTCAAAACTCTGGAACTCCATCAGTCGCTCTTGGAATCCTTCAGCCAAAGCTCCGCCTTTAAATAAAAAGCATATGCCCAATAATACCAGCCAATGAAAGACATGTGAAATCAAGCATGTATCAGTTTTGCATATTTTTCACACCTAAAGTTGCACCTCGAGTATCATTCTCAAAATCTGTGGGATTTATTAGCATCTGGCTCAGAGTGTTTTATAGTTATTATGCTCATTTTTAACTTGGCTAGGTCTAGTTTTTCCTGGTCTTCTTCCAGAAGAGTGTCAAAAGCAGAAGGCTCTGCTCTGTGTGACCCAAAGCGGTGGAGCCTACCAGTCTCTGGCATTCCCTGGGCACGGTGGATCCTGGCACTGAGCACTTCTTTGGCAGAGACGAAGAAGATGCGGTCAGGTGCCTTGTTTAGGTCCACTACCTTAAGCTCGTCCACTAAGAAACTGACGCAACGATCCATGTGCTGCTTCCGCACCTTTAAAGACAATGAAGAAGAAACATGTCAAACAATTAAAACCCTTCGCTGTAAAAAGTGCTGGGTTCCACTCAAACGATTTATGTTAAAAGTACAAGAAGGAATTCAGCTAACTTGTTAGTTTTTACAAATTTAAGTGGAGAAGTTTGGGAAATATTTGAAATTGTTTCTTTAAACTTTGAAGTGATTTCTTTATATTATCTAGAGCTGTGCATTTCATGAAGGGTGATTAATATAAATAATGAAAGGAGATTAATATATACACTATCTGGCCACTTTATTAGGTACAACTGTCTAACTGCTCGTTAACACAAATTTCTAATCAGCCAATCACATGGCAGCAACTCAATGCATTCAGGCATGTAGACATGGTCAAGACGATCTGCTGCAGTTCAAACCGAGCATCAGAATGGGGAAGTAAGGTGATTTAAGTGACTTTGAACATGGCATGGTTGTTGGTGCCAGACGGGCTGGTCTGAGTATTTCAGAAACTGCTGATTTACTGAGATTTTCACGCACAACCATCTCTAGGGTTTACAGAGAATTGTCTGGAAAAGAGAAAATATCCAGTGAGCGGCAGTTCTGTGGGCACAAATGCCTTGTTAATGTCAGAGGCGAATGGCCAGACTGGTTCTAGCTGATAGAATAGTGATAGAAACTTTGATTGAGAAAATTTTGACCTGATTGAAACATTGCCTGGTCTGATGAGTCTCAATTTCTGCTGCGACATTCGGATGGTAGGGTCAGAATTGGGCATCAACAACAGGAAAGCATGGATCCATCCTGCCTTGTATCAACGGTTCAGGCTGCTGGTGGTGGTGTAATGGTGTGTGGGATATTTTCTTGGCACACTTTGGGCTCATTAGTACCAATTATCATCACAGCCTACCTGAGTATTGTTGTTGATCATGTCCATCCCTTATGATCACAGTGTACCGCACATCTGATGGCTACTTTTATCAGGATAACGCACCATGTCCTAAAACGGGAATCATCTCAAACTGGTTTCTTGAACATGACAATGAGTTCACTCGAGTCAAATGGCCAGCACTGTCACCAGATCTCAATCCAATAGAGGACCTTTGGGATGTGGTGGAACAAGATTCACATTATGGATGTGCAGCCGACAAATCTGCAGCAACAGCGTGATGCTATCATGTCAATATGAATCAAAATCTCTGGGGAATATTTCTAGTACCTTGTTGAATCTAGGCCACGAAGGATTAAGGCAGTTCTGAGGGCAAAAGTGGATCCAACCCGGTACTAGTAAGGTGTACCTAATAAAGTGGCTGGTGAGTGTAACCATTCACTTCCATAGTAAGAAAACAAATATGTAAGTCAGTGGTTACAGGTTTCCAACATTCTTCAGTATTTTGTGTTCAACAGAAGAAAGAAATTCAAACAGGTTTGGAACAAGTGGAGAGAGTAAATGATTTTCATTTTTGGCTGAATTTTCCCTTTAAGCATTGAATAATGTATGTGAAAAACAAGTTATTCTAAAGGACTCAGCATTAGCAAGTAACACATTTTCTAAACCTATAAATCTTAAATGGATGAGTAGGAACAAATAAAGGAACAAAGATTTATTTTTTTTGCAAATCTGTAAAGTGATTCTGTGTTGTGGTGACTCACTCCAGACTAACAAATATTATGATTCATTTGTAATAAAACTTACATCTTCCAGATACTCTGGCTCTAAGACAGACGCGTCCCAGCGATTGTTCAGGATGAAAATGTTGGGTTTGGATATGCGCTCGTTCACTTTGTGGAAAAAGTGCTTTTCCTTTCGAAGAAAAGCAAAAGAGACAAATAAACAAAAT